CACAATAAGACAATCACCGGAGATGAAGGGGTGGAGTACGAGCTGCAGTATACATATGCACCGTATCATGGGCTCAGTGCTTATTGTAACATCTATACTGATCAGAGTGGAAAGGTGTTGAGAACAAAGATTGTTGCTGAGGCGGAGGGTGGAGGTGCTGCGACCATTGTGAATAAGGAGGAGGAGATTTAATTATTGTTATTAGGAGTACTGTAAACACTATTGCGGTTTCAAGCTCAACGGAAATGCCTAGGCTAACAAGGTGCGCCAACTATATGCCTAAAAGATTGTGTATTTACAAGTGCTATTACTTGGTAAGACGAGGTGTAAAGACAAGGTGAAGGTTTGGGGTTGCCAATGTAAACGTATCCATCTTGGACTTCAAGAAACCCTCTTGTGTCTGGCCCTCACCAAGCCTCACATCGAACGCCCGTACAATATGTGCTATAACATATCTCACCTCCATCAAACCAAGCTGCTTCCCAACGCAGGAATATCGCCCTTCTTAGAGTCAGTATAAGTTGAGAAGATATAGATCTATAACATTACCAATTGAGAAAGGTGCATAGACTGTCTTGTCTTTGACCAACTCGGGAGATGTAGTCCAACGCTCAGGGATATACTCCGATGGTCTCACGAAGTAGCGTTCATCTGATGCAACCTGGTTAGTTGCTTGTCCACAGATACGCGTGCAGAAAATAACTTACCTCGCTGGACTGTATGCATGGGAACCTGGACAATTGTATTGCCTGGTATGAAAGTGTCCCCCACCATCAGTCCCTGCGGAGGAGTGACTCTCTGCAAACCTGAAGGGACAGGCGGATGCAAACGAAGCGACTCATCGATGACGGCATTCAAATGGATGAGATTGGAGAGTGATGTATGGTCTGCGTGTTCTCTATCGCTGAAGTACATGTCAATCTCCTCTCTCAGCTTGATGATCTGAGAGGGATTAGTCGCCAGCTCGAAGAGAAGACCAGTCAATGTCGCAGAGGTCGTGTCGCTGTAATCCAGTAAGTTCCAAAGCGGCTCAGGTGGCTGCAGATAACATGGAGTATATACCTTCCAGCAACTGCGATCAAATAAGCTTCGGCCTCAACATTAAGCTTTGCTTGGTGTGTCTTTGGACTGCGCTCGTATTCATCGAGGATCCAAGTGAAGACATCGGGGTTATCAGGCTTCATCTACTCGTCTTCCGTGTTAGTCCAGTCACAAGGTTGCTCAGAGAAAATAGTGTACCCTTGATCGTTCCTCAACCTGACTCTCAATCCACGCCCAGAACTTTCGATCCTCAGCACTAACTGCGGGGATGAGCTTCAGGATGGGGATAATCCATGAAATATGCGCGAGAGCCCCAACCATCTTCATTGAGTCGTGTAGTGACGACAGGAAATAATGATTCACACCGTCACGTAACATGTTGAAGGACTTGCCAAATGCAAGATCACCCATAACGTCGAAGCTGTAAAAGTTCAACCAGTTCGAGGCGTTGATAGTCGTGCCTTGCATCTCATTGAGACGATCGAGTAATTGTGTAGTATATTTTGTGACGCGAGGCTCGTAGTCCCGTAGTGCTTCCTACTTGTTAGCTGGTCACCAAATTAATAGATCAAGAGAGTTGCTCTGACATTTGGAGCTCAGGGCTCTGTCCCAAATCTTTCGCCTGTTGCTGTGCTCTTTGTGATCGCGAATCATATGTAACGAGACACGAGGGTGGAGAATATTGTAGAATGGGCCTTTGGTGCATGGGGATTTGGCAGAGTAGATCGCATCGATCGCCTTTGGATGGATAATGGAAAGTTGTGTTGGTCCTAGAGGCAAAAGCTTAGTTTGACGTCAGAAGCTGAAATGGAGGATACTGACCTAATCTAACAAAATCACCATATTTCTGATGGAGCTGCTCAACCTCTTCATAGAGGTGCGCATTCTTGGTAGTGAGGTAGGTCGGATAGAAGTTTGAGATTCGAGCGCGGAGTGGCCCAGGGAACTTGTTCAAGGGATGGAAGATCATGCGATAACAGAGGATGCTGGTCAACAGCCCGAGTATGTGAACACCTTCGAGCAAAAGAACGGATACAGCTGAAAGATTGGTGTCATGGTGCCATCCCTTGAATTCAGCCAAGCGCAGCAACCCAGTCACAATAATGGGTAATGTAGCATAGGCCTGAAAGATGCGAAGTGCAAGCAAGTCCCATTCTCCCTTACGGTAAAAGAGAATGTGTAGGAGACAACCACTGGCAAACGAGACCGCAATGGCCTCAAAGCTTTTGGGTTCAACCATCATGTGGTCCATGTTGATAAAACAGTATAATGAGAATAGCGGTTTGAAAGGAACATAAGAGAGGGTTGATCCGGTCAAGGCAGGTGAAAGGGCCGTAAAGGGGCGATTTAAGACGGGGATCTCATAACCATGGTGGTGATACAAATGCTGAATCAGGTGAACCAAGCCAAGGGTTGTTTTGTGGCATGGAATTCGGCCTCGGCAACTTTCATTCGTTAAACTAAACTTGCTAAAGGGGACAAGCTGAGGATTGCAACGCGGGGTCATCCTTAAAGGCATAGCAGAAAGATTAGCGCGTTATGGGGAGTTGCGGGGAATCTGGGGAAGAGTGGACTGAATGACCTTGTGAAGGTGCTCTGATATGTACAGTCGATTCGTGAGTGGTTCAATTTGTGCCGGTAGCCGTGGGCCGTAAATGGTGTCTCACTACCGTCGCTAAGACCGAGCTGTCGCATGCACTCAACAACTCGCAAAGGAGCACTGGTATACGCAGCCGGCCTATTCTTTTTGGGATACCTGGCCCCAAGCCTCTAGTGTCAACAGCCTTTTAGGGAAGGGAAGCTGTAAAAGGTACTCTGAAACTGCATTGTAAGTTATTCAGGACGTAGCGGTTTGGCATTTACAACATTATTCTAGGTGTTGAAAATAAGCTTTGAATCTGTTTTCATTTTGCCGCTACTTGTATAGTGACTCTACTTGGTTCTCTTAATAAAATATGTCTTAGAGTTGCAATAGCCTCGCAGTCCATCAACACCCCATTCGCGTCCTAAGCCACTGTTTTTGTGACCCCCAAACGTAGCTGTAGGCTCAATAGCTAGATGCTCGTTGAACCAAACACTGCCAACATCAAGTCCATCAGCGATGCGCATCCCAAGCTCTTCATCAGCCGTCCAAACTGAAGCTCCCAAGCCCATGTCACTTGAGTTAACACGAAACAAGACCTCGTCTACTCCAGACCACTTCAGCAAAGGCACCACTGGCCCAAAGGGCTCTTCGGTGACGATTTTGCTATCATCCGGCGGGTTATCCACAACGGTAGGTTGGATAAAGAACCCTTTCTGCAGACCATCTGACATATCTCCGCCCTTCAACACAGCGTAATTGTTTTTTGCTATTTCATCGAGGTGTACCTTGACACGCTCAAACTGGAGTTCGTTCTGAACTGGTCCCATGAAGGTGCCATCTGCGAATCCGTCGCCGACTTTGAGCTGCAATACATGCTTGATGAAAGAGGCCTTGAAAGTTTCATATATGTCTTGATGCACATAAATGCGCTTAACAGCAATACAGATCTGGCCTGCGTTCATAAATGTGGCCACTGCGATTTGTGAAGCGGCATTCTCTATGTCTGCATCTGCACAGACAATCGCAGCATCGTTTCCTCCGCTATCTCATGTGAGCTGTTGTGTACTGGGAAGGGGGCCGCAGGTCAAGTTGGGTATACTTACAGCTCCAGAGTAACTCTGGTCAAATTCTTGCTGGCGCTCTCCATGACCTTCTTACCCGTAGCTGTCGAGCCAGTAAAGCTGATCTTGTCAATGCCTGGGTGAGCCGTCAACATGGGACCTAGATCATCGCCTCCGCTTAAGACCTGTACTACGCCAGGTGGGAAGAATCGCTGTGCAAGCTCGACTATTTTAATACCGCAGTAGGGTGTGAAGGGAGAAGGCTTGACGATGATACAGTTGCCTGCCATCAGTGCTGGACCAAGCTTTCCGCACAGAAGCATAATGGGATCTACACCGAGTTAGCTCGAGACTTGGAGACGAGATATCAAGACGTACAATTCCATGGGACTATTCCAACAACCACTCCCAGAGGGACATAACGAGTGAAGATGCGTCTCTCTGGTTCGTTGTCAACCTCGTCCACGGGCATATCAAGCTCGCACGTCCCAGTAAGCCAGTGAGCTCCACGGATAATCTCATGGTCGGCAAACATAGTCTGCAGCGAATCAGTCAGCTCTCTCAGGCCAACACCCAAACCGAAATTTTAGACTTACAGGCTTTCCCTGCTCCGCTATAAGCAGACGCGCGAATTCTGCTTTCTGTGCCAACAGCGCAGCTGCCAAGCCCTTGATCTTCTCCTTCCGAACCTCAATCGGCGTCGTTTTCCAAGTTTTGAATGCAGAGCGGGCTGCTTGTACAGCATCTTCAACGTCTGCTTGGGTTGACACAGGACAGGGTGGCAACACCTCACATGTTGAAGGGTTGATACCATGTCGTGTGACCGCAGTAACTCCGGCTTGGCCATTGATAATGTTGGAAAAGGTTGAGAAATTCATGTTCTCCAGATAAGTAGTAACAGCCATTCTGGTTTACTATAATTGGTAGATGTGATATTCGGGCTGTGTCTCCTACTCAAAGAATTGCTCTTGAAAGATTGGTCTCAGGCTGTTTATGTATATCACTTCCGCCTTGAGGCCTGATATAAGTCGCCTTTACTTGTTCGAAGATTCGCCAAGGTATTTACCCCGCGTTCCACACCCATAATGAGTTAGTAGCATGCTATCACGAGGCTAGATTATTTGGGCCGGTTGGCTTGTTATTTCTGCCGAGGGCTTTTCGCATCGGTTGAATTTAATCTTGGGGATAAGACTGTCGCTAGCTCGATTTAGGCTAGTCGTGTTGTGTGCTGTTTGTTCAATAAATCATCATCGGTACCTGTTTACAGAGACCAACGTTGAATTCCGTGATTAAACATATCATCATTAACAATTATGAACACCAAGTTTATCGCAGCATACGAGCCTCAAGGCACTACGCCAGACTTAAGACTCGTAAACGGGTCTGTGCGGACAATTCATCCCAGTGAACTGCTTATTCGAGTCGTCGCTACTGGTATTTGTCACACTGACCTTATCTTTGCCACTTGGCCTGCCGACCAGATCCCATACCCCAAAGTATTAGGACATGAGGGTCAGCTTAACACATTCCTTGTCTTTAGCGCCATGATCACTGAGGTTCGTGTTTAGGTGCTGGTGTTGTCGTGGAAGCAGGGCCTGGGGTAACCAAAGCTCGCCCAGGTGACTTTGTCCTTCTCTCCTTTCACAATTGCAAAGACTGCCATGACTGCAAAGAGGGCCATCCGTCTTTTTGCAGCAAGTTCGTTGAGGTCAATTATGGCGGCGAGGATGCAACATATACCGCAGAGGGTACCGATTTGCGTGGCAACTTTTTCGGGCAGTCGTCCTTTGCTGAACTGGCAGTTGTCAAGGAAACATCTGTTGTAAATGTGACCAACATCATCAAAACTGAAGAGGAGTTGAAGTTATTCGCGCCGCTTGGTTGTGGATTTCAGACTGGTGCGGCGACGGTTGAGAACGTTGCCAGAGCAAATGAGAAAGACAGAGTCGCAGTCCTAGGTCTTGGTGGTGTCGGATTAGTTTCTATAATGGTAAGAAATTATGTCCAAAAGCACGAAGAACAAGCTGATTTCTCTTCTAGACGGCAAAGATGCAGGCCTGCAGGACTATAATTGGCATTGATCGCGTACCTGAGAGACTGGAATTGGCCAAGGCCCTTGGAGCGACTCATGTAATCAACACAGCCGATGAGAACATTGACATAAAAGACGAGATCCAAAGAGTCACTGATGGAAAAGGCTCTAGCATAACGATTGACACGACAGGGAACATGGGCCTCATCAAAGCAGGTCTAGAGTTTACTGCCAACAGAGGTCAACTGATCTTTGTTGGAGTACCGCCACTCGATGCCATGATGGATCTTCATCTTGTCACATTCATGCAGGTATGAATTCACCCCCGATTCTTCATCTTTACAAAGCTAATCGAAGTCAGACCGGGAAAGTCATTCGAGGAACTATTGAAGGTGATGCTGTCCCTGCCGAGGTATGAGGTTAGACATTGTAGACAACAGTCCAGGCTCTGACATGCGTATAGTATCTACCCCGAATGGTACAATGGTATCGGGAAGGCAAGCTACCAATCAATAAGCTGATCAGCTTTTACAAGGTATGTCCCTGGGATTTTTATAGTAGGGACGCTGTTCTGACGATTCTGTGCAGCCAGAAAATTTTGAGACTGCTTTGAAAGACATGAAAATCGGGAAAACAGTCAAACCAGTTATCGTCTGGTAGTTGTGATACTAATGCTACGCTACATCCATATTTAGTTATCTTGGATCTACTATAACTTTCTGAAATTGCAGCTACGGTTACATTTAGGGATGCAACTCAGAGTATTAACCGATCAGGTCTCAGGTGGAATGCTCAACATAGCTCTCGTCAAGTTCTCTACTAATGGCTCTGAAAACATGAATTGATTGGTTGGAATTTACCCTCGGTAGAAAATGCGCGGATGTCAAGTGTTGTGGCTGATATAAATCTTGTTTTCACATATTGACTTACTTCATTAGGACATAGCGTTAGTTGACAAAACATAGCCGAGTCAGAGCTCGTGGGCTCTGACTCAAAATAGTCGAGTCAACAATGCGAATAACTGCATTCAATAGAGGACAATGCTTCGTAGCTTGACTAAAGTTTCCACTTCCCCGCGTTTTACCCCGCGTTCAGACCCTCTTCTCTCCGCTGCCATGAATTAGTTCGGAAAAGGGGATCTTGGATCTTTCACCTCAACTACTGGTACAAAATTCATCATCATCGTTATCGAAACATTACCCAGAGCCCACAATGGAGGAGGCGATGTCCCATGGCATAAATCCTCGACGGAAGCGAGCCAGCAAAGCTTGTGTAGCCTGTCGCTCCCGCAAAGTCCGATGCGATGTCACTCATAGACCGCATCAGTGCACCAATTGTGCCCTTGATAACATTCAATGTGTTGTTAAAGACAGACGCACCAAATAGTAGGTTCCATGGACAAATAGCACCAACTCAAGCTAACCTGGCCAAGTCGCAAACGCTCTCCCGTCGTTGTCGAAAAACAGCAGCGGACACAGTTCAGAAACAGTTTGCAGGTAATTTTACCAAAGGACCCAAGCTCTGCTGCATCGGATGATCTGGATTCGCCAAACGACGCATGTCTAGAGCCAGATCTCTCAGTGGAATGTGGTCCTGAAAGCCCATCTATGTGCTTCGAGTCGCTTTGGGATCAACCTGAGATAGATTACCCTGCCGAGCGACTCATTCAAGGTGCGGCAGAAAATTGTGCGAAGGAACCTGGAATCTTTGAGATGGTTCTAAACCAGCGCAAAGATTCTGACTTCACCATTATCTCGGAAAACTCTCGGGTTCATCAAACAGAGCCTAAGCCAGCCTCAAGCTCCGATGCAAAGCTGTCCGGTCAATCGCACATCATATACTCTTATTACTCTTTCCTTGATCTCGATATCTCTGGCTTGTTACCTGATGATATAAACTACCTCGAAGCCCAAGGCTGCTTTCGAGTCCCCACTCCAGAAGCTTTGGATGAATTTGTTCAAGAGTACTTTTTACATGTTCACCCGGCGCTTCCGTTGTTAGATGAAGCCTGGTTCTGGGCCATCTTTACACGACCTGTACGCGGCAGATCAAATCTATCTCTCTTCGTCTTCCAGGCCATGCTATTTACTGCATGTAGTGTATGTTACGAGCTCTGTATGTATCTTGATATATGATTTGCTGACTTTGTAGTTCCTACCCTTTTCAACCCTCCGAAGTCTTGGATTTGCTTCAGTACACAATGCACGAGACACATACTACCGTCGCAGTAAGGTAAGTTCATCATGATCGGTGAGTCATGCTAGTGAGCGAATCATGACTGACCTGCATTGCAGCTCTTGTTTGATCTTTGCAGTGAGAGGAACCTTGTGTCTAGTGCGCAAGGAGCACTTTTATTGTCATACAATGGAACAATGAAGGACCAGAAACGCACGAATTCTATTTGGCTCTCAACTGCAATCCACCTAGCTCAGGCCGCAGGTGCGGATCAATTTCATACCAGCTTAAACCCGAGTTTGACTACGGTAAATGAGCTAAAACGACTGTGGTGGTGCTGTATAGTACGGGACCGAATCCTGCCTCTTGGTATGCGAAGACAACTACACATTACATCGCTCGATGTGGCTCACGGAAGCTTCTTGCCTACTGAGAAAGATTTCTCGCGAGAGATTGACGGGTCTCGGGTCTACGCACCACAGACGAAACGAACGCTAGTCCGGTTATTTATCACGCTGTGTGAGCTGACTGTTCCGCTCACTGATGTCATCAAGATCGTCTATCCTACCGGCCGCTTGACTGATACTCATTCCCCGGTTGTTCATGATGCCCAACAAGGAAGGGAATCGCTGCAGTCTTGTGAGGCTGGCTTGGAGGCTTGGTTCGAAAGGGCAACGATCCAGTTTCCAACCCCTGCCGGCATCATCACTCGCGAAGAGTCTCTTGTGTTATACACAAACTTACTCTACATATACTATCAGTAAGTATCCCTATTAAGGCATAGTCATGTATTTAGTATCTCTGACTATCGAAAAGCGCTGCTTGCTTTGCACTTTATCAGCACAAGGCCTTCATTATTAGCCAGGAACAGGCCAAAGCGACTTCAGAGCTGCAACGGACCAAAAGCAAAATCGAGGATGCTGCCCTCGGCATTACAGAGAATCTGAAAGAGCTTATCCAACTGAGGTTGGAAAGGTTCTTGCCAATCAGCATGTGAGTTGATACGTGATTTGTGACTTACTATTGCTGATATTCTATTTCTAGTGCTGCATATATTGCTGTTCCCCTGGTGCTCCACATCCTTGATGTTAGACTTGCAAAGAGGCCACTACAAATAGCCCAGAAGCAAGGAAAGCTAAATGTTTATATTGAAACTATGAAGGCTATGCAGAAGCTCTATGATGGAGTTGATGATGTATGGACCTTTATCAGAACAGCTATCGATTATGCAACTGTACAGGACGCAGAGAATGAGACAAGCTTACAGAACGGTTATAGCATTAACGCAGTCGGTTGTCTCGGATCGAAATCCAATCTAACCAACGACAACGAGTATGCCAATGATTGGGGTAATGTCCTCGTCATGGAACCTGTTTTATACTTCCGGCTTTCTCGAACTATCGACCACTCGTTAGCTCTCGGGCGATATTCAGAGGACTCTACACTTGGACTCGCTGCACCTCATTCAGCGCGTTTGCCTTCCCCTAGACTCTTTGTCATCGACATAGGTTCTCCCGAACAAAACGTCGATGCCACCACTTGCAAGCATGACAAAGCATCTGTGGATAACGGGGATAGAGAATCCGACGCTGGGCAAGATCAGCTTTTATCAGCACCTCAAATTCTAGAGGATATTAATGAGTTTATTACTTATGACTTTGGAATGGAAGATCTGTAAGCTCTGGTCAAGTTAGAGAGGTTTAAACTAGAAGTTAAAGAGATTAGTAGCTTTAATATATAATATTAGAGTAAAGTGTTTATTTAATAGTTTTATTATTCTTAATACTAAGACTCTTACATATTTAATACCCTTAACTTTATATAACTATTTAATTTTTAACTAATTAATTCTTTTATTATCTTTTTTTTTTATTTAAATAACGTGGTTGATAAGCAAATGCAACAGATAAGTAAGTGCAACAGCATACTGTGTATATAAAAATAGCCTACCCTATAGTAATTTAAACTTAAAATAAAATAGTTAAAAATTTAGAAAAATTATTTTCTATAATAGTATAGCTAAATTTACTAAATAGTATTTTTTAAAAAATTTTAACTATTTTATTTTATCTATAAAACCTTAAAATACAGTGTATTTTACAGTATAAATAGATTTTAAAGTTTATAGCTATATAGAAATTTTAAGAAATTTTAAAAAACTTAATATAGCCTATATTAAGGCTTATATATAAGCTATTAAAATTATAGCTATTTTAGGCTTAACTTAGATTTTTAAAGAG